ATAATTCACACATCTTTGAATTCAATCTCTTTCAATTCAAGTTTGCAATGAATTCCAACTTTGTATCCTTTTCGGATTCCAACTGGGGGTCCTCATCCAATTCCAAATTAGAAGAAAATGGGCGCAAATGAGACGAAAAGATGAAGAAGTTCAAGTAAGGCGCAACAAACAAAACAGAGCAGCAGCCATGGCTGCGGCCAAGGTGTGTCAGCCAATTGAGGAACAACCTCAATGGAGTAGCTCTGTTGCTGGTCGCTTTTACAAACCACGAAACAGAGCGATGGCATATGCTAATCTGATGAAAAACTACTTCAACCCCAACTCAATGTACACAAAAAAGGATTTCAGACGTCGCTTCCGGATGAGGCATCATGTCTTCGAGCGTTTACTTCGTGATGTCTAGCAGGTCAATCCATACTTTCGACAAAAGCGGGATAGAGCATGCCGCCCTAGTTTCTCACCTCATCAGAAGGTTACTGTTGCACTTCGAATGATGGCCTATGGCTCCCCAGCTGATTCGATGGATGAAACCTATAGTATGTCTGAGTTTACATACCTTGATACTCTTGAACAATTCTGTGACACAATTGTTCAGGTTTACAAAGACGAGTATCTCCGCAAGCCAAATCAAGAAGATCTGAATCGGCTCATTCGCAAAGCTTAAGACCATGGGTTTCCGGGCATGATAGGGTCATTAGACTGCATGCATTGGGATTGGAAGAACTGCCCCACCGAATGGCAAAGAATCTTTAGCGGAAGGTCGAGAAAGCCAACTGTTGTGTTAGAGGCGGTTGCCTCATATGACACATGGATCTGACATGCTTTCTTTGGAGTCCCTGGATCCCAAAATGACATTACAGTTCTTGGGCATTCACCTCTCTTCAATAACTTGACGGAAGGTAAAACACCTCAACTTGACTACTACATCAACAGCCGTCAATACAATATGGGGTATTACTTGGCAGATGACATCTACCCAAAGTGGGCGACACTTGTCCAAGCAATTCCAAACCCTAGGAATAAGGCAAAAAAGTTGTTTACCTTACACCAAGAGGCATACCGAAAAGATGTTGAGAGAGCTTTCGGTATTCTACAAGTACGGTGGAAGATCATCAGCGAACCGGTAAGAGGGTGGAGTCGAGAAAATTTGGACTCCATCATGATGTCTTGCATCATATTACACAATATGATAGTGGAGGGTGAGCGAGATGAGTATATTGATGGAGAGTCCGATGACGACCAAGAAGATCTAAATAGGTTAAGAAGGGCTCGTGCAAAAATATATGATGGGCCTAATTTGCCTTTCAATCCAAGAACTGGTAGTATCTTTATAAATGAGTACATGAGGCGCTATATAAAGATACGTTTCACAAACAAGTACCTACAACATGATCTTGTTGCACATCTTTGGGCCAAAAGAAGCATGGAGTAGACGTTTAAGTTTTATGTTGTTAAATGTTTTTAAAAATATTGTTTAAGTTTCATGTTGTTAAATGTTTTTTTTTAGGGGCGTTTTGATATAGACCCCTCATTTTTAGACTTCTTAGATTAAACATCTGTTCATTTTAACAATTTGATTAAGCATTCTTCTATAATTTTGGGGCCATGTGTATTTTAATTAACCCATTGTAATGTACCTAAATTACATAATTTGCCGTAGCCTTTAACATACGTGTTTCCCGTATCCAGTTTCTTCATGCCAAACTGCACGCAAGGCTCCTAGATTCTTGCTAACTAATGTCTCAGAGTTATAATCCAAGTAGAATACTACTTGTTGAATATAAGAAGGATATTAATAATGTTATTTATCTCTAGTGAATTCAATTTTCCAGGGGCACTTTCTTCCTTCCTATGAACGTACCATAAGTTTCAGAAGCCTACTTTCCGCACTGAGGTCGACGTTAGTATTCAGGTTCCAGTGTTGATTTTTATTCAAATTATCAGTTGGATGCGTTGATTTTGATTATCTTTTGAAGTCGAAGGTTTTTGATCTTTTGTGTGTTGGCTATGATTTGGTACGTTGCACTTAGGTTGGGCATTGCACTTAAGAAACTAGCCTCGTATCCCTGCTGTATCGCATAATTCCTTCGGTACCTTTCAAAAATTGCCGCCCACGCCACAGATAGGATTGAAACCCCCAGGCCTATCCCCACTCTCAGAAGCCGAGAAGCACCGTGGGGATGGCCAGTGATGCGCCTGGACAGCGGGACAAATATAGAGTAGTAGAGGGACTGTATGACAAAGATACTGAGGCCAGGAAACACTAGGAAACACTAAGTTTCAGAAGCCTTTTTTTCCTAATCCAAGAATTGAATGAATCGGCACATTTCACCGTACTTGCCGAAAAAAAAAAGTCAATCAAAACACTGCATAATCCTAACATTATGTTGATCGCAATTTTTATTTGGTAGCATTTGGTACGTCTGCAGCCTAGGATTTATGAATCGTGTAGTGTGCTATATATATGATTCGTGTGGACATCTTGCAGCTTACAATATATATATATATATATATATATATATATATAATGGTACAAATTATTTGATTAAAAATGTTTCAGGTACATCATTGCGCTACCAACGGTTAAGTATGGGAGCATGAACTACCGAATATGCAAATCAGTGTCTTACTTGAAGAGGTCGATAAAAAAAAACAACCATCCCCAGAAATAGCATCCATAATCAAAGGAGTGAAAAGAAGACAGGTACGAAAGGTACTTAGAAAAGCGGACTTTGAATATGCAAATACAAAAAAAAAAATCTGGCAAAAAAAGGAAAAATGTGGAACACAAGAGTTCTGGAATTGATGAATCAATGAGGAAAGTTGGTGACGTACCTTATGAAAATGCAAAGACAGGAAAGAAGATGAAACAAATTGGATGTTGGTCACCTCATGATCCAATTAGACAAGAGATAGATTGTGATACTTATGTTTCGAAGAAGGTTGCAAGAAAATGTCATGAGAAAAATATTGTTCTGTCTGAAACGTTTGTGGGTCCCAGGTTTGATAAAGATGACTACGAACGCCTTCAAGACTTCATAAATAGCGATTATTCTGGGTAAGTAATCATTTTTACACCATTGTATATGCATATTATAGGACTGGTAATTGGAGCATTGTAATTAATGTGTTTGTGTTATTGTACCATATATCACAGGATAGCATTATGGTCAGGAAAGACAACTCAAATAATGCAAGAAGATGTAGAGTTTCTAATCACTAACAAGGGAATCACATGGCAGGTAATTAATGGGTCATTTGAAGGTATAAAGATTAGAGACGTAATAATGTATTTAAGTACTTGCATACCATAGATGCGTATGCAGAAGTGCTATGTAGGAGGCTAGCAAGTGATAAGAAATTGAAACATAAGTCATTCTTTATGACTATTCTTGTCTTGGTACGTATTGAAAAGATATTCACATTCGCATGTTTGGCTTAATTATTTTTCATATATTTGCATATTTTTAAACTTTACCTATTGAATGTTTTAACTAGTATGTTATGTCTTTGATATGATCATGTCAAATAGGAATACGACAAGATGAATGACATTATACAATGTGTATTTGTAATGTACCAGGTGTTTGGTACGTTACGTAATGTTACACTAACTCATATTCATAGTTTGATTCATGAAATAATATTAATTAGATCATTCCAGGCATTTGGTAAGTAAAGTTTTTTATTTTTGAAACGTATCCGTCTGGAAAAACGTTATACAATGCGTATTTGTAATGTACCAAGTGTTTGGTACGTTACTTAATGTTACACTGACTCATATTGATAGTTTGATTCACGAAATAATATTTAATTAGATCATTCCAGGCGTTTGGTATGTAAAGTTTTTTATTTATGAAACGTATCCGTCTAGAAAAACATTATACAATGTGTATTTGTAATGTATCAGGTGTTTGGTACGTTACTTAATGTTACACTGACTCACATTGATAGTTTGATTCATGAAATAATATTAAATTAGATCATTCTAGGCGTTTGGTACGTATAGTTTTTTTATTTTTGGAACGTATCTGTCTGGAAAAATGTTATACAATGTGTGTTTGTAATGTACCAGGAGTTTGGTACGTTACTTAATGTTACACTGACTCATATTGATAGTTTGATTCATGAAATAATATTAAATTAGATCATTCCAGGCATTTGGTACGTAAAGTTTTTTTATTTTTGAAACGTATCTGTCTGAAAAAACGTTATACAATGTGTATTTGTAATGTACCAGGTGTTTGGTACGTTACTTAATGTTACACTGACTCATATTGATAGTTTGATTCATGAAATAATAATTAATTAGATCACTCCAGGCATTTGGTACGTAAAATTTTTTATTTTTGAAACGTATATGTCTAGAAAAACATTATACAATGTGTATTTGTAATGTAGCAGGTGTTCGGTACGTTACTTAATGTTACATTGACTCACATTGATAGTTTGATTTATGAAATAATATTAAATTAGATCATTGCAGGCGTTTGGTACGTGTAGTTTTTTTATTTTTGAAATGTATCGATCTGGAAAAACGTTATACAATGTCTGTTTGTAATGTACCAGTAGCTTGGTACGTAACTTAATGTTACACTGACTCATATTGATCGTTTGATTCATGAAATAATATTAAATTAGATCATTTCAGGCGTTTGGTACGTAAAGTTTTTTATTTTTGAAACATAAGAAGCTACCAAAGTGTTGGTGTGTTAATCCAAATGTACCAATTATTTGGTTTGTCTTTTATCATTAGTTAGACGATTAATGATCAATTGGTATTAAACTATCAACTAATAGGTACGTTAATTAGCGTTATATTGACATATTAATGCGATAAGTTTGTCAATTAGTCCACCACCCTTTTTTCTCAAAATCTGCAGGTTTACGTCGAACACTTCTGGAGTGGATGAATAAGCTTAGTTCTTGAATAATTGGACCATTATCTTACGAAACTTTTTCCCAAAGCCAATAGGATATGTTTTCTTAATATTCTTTTGTATGTGGTAAATACAAAATCCATGTGGAGAAGTAGGGAAAACATTTGCCACAGATTGAAGCAATCCTTTGTGCCGGTCCGATATGAATGTAATGGTATGTTCATCTTCAGATAATACGTCAGATAAGTTCATCAAAAACCAAGTTCAGTTAGCCTCATCTTCAGCATCAACCAGAGCAAATGCAAGAGGGAAAAAACCTATACAAATGAAAAATATAACAGAATTAATACAACATGATGTTAATTAACATACAAAAATATATAAACATCTTTACATGCATACCTTGGTTACCATTTTTCCCTGTCGCACCAAGCAAAGTGCCTTTGTACTTTGTTTTCACAAACGTACCATCCAAAAATAGTAAGGGTCTACAATAATTAAACCCTTCAATAGAACCTCTAAAAGCAATAAATAGACGACGAAAGTGGGAGGTGTTTGGATCGCACTCCAACACACAATGGGATCAGGATTACTTTTGCGGATCTGTTCAACACACCAACCTAACTTTTGGTAAGATAAAACGTCATCACCATGAATCATTGTCATCGCCATCTCTTTTCCGTACCATGCATTGTAATAGGAAACATCCAAACCATAATTCTTTTTGAAATCATCAACTATCTGAATTGGTTTAATGTGTGGATTGGACCGAATTTGCTCAACCAGTATGGAACACACAATCTTTGAGATCATCATCCCACTTTCACGTTCTCGAATGCGACCGCTGCATATGTGCTGATTATTTGATGTCCGGATAACAAAATGGCCATTAGCACTGCATATAGATGCATGAACACGCCACATACAACCTTCAATATCTTTCGTAATGCAAGAAGCTATTATCCTTTTATGCTCATTTGCGACATACTCAAATTCAAAACCCATCTCAACAACATACTTGCATAGTTTAAGCCTGAACTCATCCGCTCCATCCTCATAATCCTGACCAACATGACTTATATAGCTTTTCCAAGGATGCGATAAATACATCTTAGCAGTAGGTGTTTTAAATTTCTCCAAAAACTCATTCCCATCGGTGTGCATTACACCTTCAGCCAAAAATGGTTATGTAATACGAATATCTTGACTAGCATTGCCAATTTCATTTGATTCTTTTAAACTCACCAATATATCAACAAAATATGCGTTCTCCTTTGTTACAGATATGTGCAATACACGCACATCCATGTCACATTCCAAAAGACAACATGCGCATCCATTCATAGCATATGTAAAGTTAAATGAACCAACTACCAAACCACTGAACCTTGAGCTAACCTGGTTGCACAACTCAGAAAATGAAGTGTGCTAAAAAATGGGAATAGAAGTAGTAATATCATTATGGGTACATCTCTCAACAATAGCTCCTTCCATGAAGTCCTACCTACAAAAATACATTGGAAAATTGAGCTATGTAAACCTATAAATCGATCAATGCTGAAAAACTAATTGGACCAGGGAATTCCTAGTTAGCCAAGTAGCAGAGAAGAAAAACAAAAAACAACCTATTCTACAACAACTTATTTACACCAAAGAAGATATATTACTGTCCTCTCCATTGTTATTAATTGCTTAATTTTTCTCTCGTTTATTTTGTTAAAAATTGGTGTAAAACAAGCCTTTCATAAGCCTTACACGCCCAAGCAAAATACATGCAGCACCAATGTTTATTGGGGCATTTCATCGAACATGTGTTGGGCAACTTTCAAATCTTCAAAAACTCAACACAACTCCTCAGTGTGCATCTTATAACTTATCAATATAAATGAACTACTAGTATTCAAGCATAGACCAGAAGAAATACAAGCAAACAGAGCATTAAGCAACAAACGCACAACAAAATAATCAATCCCAATCCCCTTTCGAACCCAGACTAAAGTCGATGAAACTGCAACTTTATGATAATTATCTAAAAACCTTCTGTACGTACCACAGACAACAAGGTCGACGTTGTAGAGAATCTCAATAAAACCTTCTAAACGTAACAGCCTCAAGCATCTAAGAATATAGAATACGTCTAATTATCTCACATGATATCAATATAAAATAGCAAAAATAACCATTAATTGAAATGGATAAGTCCATTCAAAATTAAAAAATGAGGATCACAAAATTCAAACATGAAAGAAGAATTCTGGAAACACAATCCAGCGGCACATCCTACAAAAAAGGCCACGTATAGAAATAGGGTTTAGAAATATATCAGGCCAAAAGGATATATATGGAATTTAATAATTAATATTTTAAATTATAAAAAACATGTAATTTAAATAAAGATATAAAAATGCTGACATGACTATAGTTTAGGCATCCTAATCAAATTTCAAAATAGAACCAATGTTTGATCTAAAGAGTACTCGAAAAGTAAGGGGGATTCTAATTTTCCCTTTTTTTTTATGTTGTATAATTTGTATGTTGGTTAAAGTTGTTTCATATTGTTTAATGTTGTTTCACAATTTAATTTAATATTGTATAAAGGCTTAGGAAGTTATAGGAAAAAAAATATAATTTAAAAAAAATATGAAACAAATTTTGTGGAATAGAAGTTATAGGAAAAAATAGAAGTTAAAATAAAATGAAACAAATTTTGTGAAATAGAAGTTATAGGACAAAAATGGAATTTAAAAAAAAATATGAAACAAATTTTGTAAAATAAAAGTTATAGGAAAAAAAATAGAATTAAAAAAAATGAAAAATAGAAGTTATGGGAAAAATTTTGTAAACAAAAAATAATAATAAAACTGTAAAAAAAAAAATCGAATGCAACAGCTAGCTGATTGACGTCAGCTAGCCGTTGCATTTGAATTTTAGCTCAAGCATTCATGTCGGTTATAACCGACATGATTAATCATTTTTCTGCCTAGCCCTAGGTTGGCTGGCTGGTTGCATGCAGCCAACCCTTTAACCATTTTAGATTTCGTGGGGCCCTCTCAGATTCCACGAACCCTCTGGCCTAGCCCTCTGTTGGAGACGGTTTTCAGGCTATTTTCGGCCCTCTGGCCATCTGGACCCTTCGGTTGGAGATGGCTTAAGTGCTTCCCGTAAGAAGCACATATCTGGTGCTTCTTCCAAAAAGCACTTAAAGTGTTTTTGGAACTCAAAATCAATTTAACCAAAAGCGCTTTTAGACATTTTAAAAACATATCCAAACAAGCCCTAAGTCATTATGTAACTTAGCTTAATTCCCCACCTCAATATAATTGTATAAAAAGATGGATAATGCTAGGGAAATCAAAATTTTAAATTAAATTTGCAATGTCACTAATAAGAAACAAACATGTTAATCAACATTTAATCAATAATCCAATCATCTCTAACCATATTATTTGGTTTGTAAATTTGGTTTAAAATTTTGATCTCTCTAATATTAATCTAAAAATATAGATAAATAAACAATTAAAACGCATCCATTTAATGTGAAATTGATTTGTACTGTTATGTCTTACTTTCTGCTGAATTAAAATACTTATAAACAAAAGCTGCACCAAACCAGATTAGTGGGTCCAATAATGCGACCAATTTTTCAGCGTGAACGCCTTACTGTGAAACCTAAAATGTCATGCCGAGCGGAACCTCTCTATTTCTTTGCACTCGCCTTTTTGTTTCTATCCATTGATTGTAAATTAATAGTGAATCAAGGATTGTTTTACAGTTAGCAAAAATCCTCCCCCTCCCCACAAAAAAAAAAATTGTCCTTTTAGATACCGTTTGGTACGTGGAACGGAACGGAATGGAGTGGGACGAGACGTTCCGTCTCACGTTTGATGCACCTAAAACAGGTGGAACAGAATTTTGGGTGAATTTTTGTTCTGCCTCACCTCCTGGAACGACTAGTTCCACATCCATGAAACACAAAATTATAACCTCTCCGTTCCGTCCCATCCTATCCTGTCCCGTTCCATCTGCATACAAAACGATACTTTAGTGCATACATCTTTCTTCCGACAAGTCTTTTCTCTCAAATCTTACAACAATACCGTTTAAATTTCCTTCAATTTTGAGTTGCAAATTCTCATCTTTTCTCCCTTCTTCCCTTCTGCTGTGGTTCACCTGTCGATTCCAATTTACAACAAGTACGGTTTGGCTTTGGCTTTGGCTGCCAATTAAAAGAAAAAACAAGTCCTAAAGTTCAATTGGCTTTTGGAGAAGAGACAACTTTGAGTCTTTGACAAATGAAAAAGGAGCTACAGTTATCCTAGCCGCACGATCTACTTCAACGGCTAGGATTAATGTGTTTGGAGGCTCCGGATAGAAGAGGATCCAGAGGATCCGCGTCCTTAGAACGGTGAGTTTTGTACAGACCATTAGAAGGCCACATATTGGAGTTGCATTGGAGTTCCCATTTCCCCAGCATTTTTCCCATCCATTCTCATCTTTACCACTTTCTCAGGTAATCTTCTTCCCAACTTCTTTTTATTTCCTTACGACCTGTTTGGTTGCCGAGAAACCCGAAAATGAATTAAAGGAATGGAAATAATACAAATAGTAATCTGTATGTTGTTTCTCTTTCTCCTGGAAACTGTTGCGTTCAATGCTTCTGTATTCGCTAGGTATTCAAGCATTTTTCATTATTTTTTATTTTAATTTTTTTAAGCTAGGCGTCTGCTATTTCGTATCGGTTTCGGTACAAATTGCGCATTGTTTACCCCCTTGTGGTGTTTCAGTCAGTTTCCAGAGTAATGTTGGAGAATTTTGTAATTTGTGGATTTTGGATTCTGGGTTAGCTTTATTTTGTATAATCATATAGAAAGGTCTAATTTTATTTAAATCAGCTTTTGCAATCATTTCATGTTTTTTTTTCTTTTTCAAAAAAATTATGTTTGATGATGAAAGGCCTTGGTTTTTTTCGTTTTATATGTTTTCGATCTTTAAAAGTATTTGTCTGATTGAGCTTTTGATGATTTTTTCTTGTGATTTCAGTTTTCAGGCTACAAGTTCATAATTTGTAAGGAGGCACAACCAAATTAAGAAGTGCAGTATTACGAAGCTTGGTGCTTCGATCTTGCGGTAAATCATTCAGTAATATGCTTTCCGTTCGTAGATATTGCTTTAGAAAGGATGTTCTTTCATATAGTTTGAATTCCATCACTAGCACATTGCGGCCTATACACTATTTGATTCAAACCCAAATTGACCCAGTTCCCAAAATCGCTTCAAATGGATATTTTGGTATATATGAGCGGTTTTTGCTGCATAATTTTTACTCGACCAAGCCCCCATCACGATCGTTTAGAAGGAGAGAACGTAAAAGATCGGAATCCAATAGATCAACTCTTGATGAAGTCCAGTTTCAAAGGGCCTTATCCCAGTTGTTGCCTAGATTTACACCTGAAGAGCTTTGCAATGTTATAACTCAGCAAGACAATCCTTTTGTGTGTTTAGAGTTGTTCAATTGGGCATCACAACAGCCGCGGTTCAGACATGATGTTTCTACTTATCACATTACGATAAAGAAACTTGGCATAGCTAAAATGTATCAAGAAATGGATGATGTTGTCAACCAAGTGCTTGCTATTTCTTACATTGGTTCTGAGGCGCTTTACAATTCCATTATCTATTTTTTCACGGAAGCTCGGAAGTTGACTAGAGCTGTCAATATATTTAAACACATGAGGAATAGCAGAAACATGGAGTGTAGGCCTTCAATCAGGACGTACAATATTCTTTTTACGGCCTTTTTGAGTAGAGGATCTAATTCTTACATAAATCACATGTATATGGAGACAAGCAGGTGTCTGTTTCGGCAAATGGTGGATGATGGGATTGAGCCTGATATTTACTCTTTGAATTCTATGATTAAGGGGTACGTACTTTCCCTTCATCTCAATGATGCACTTAGAATATTCCATCAGATGGGCGTGGTCTATAAATGCACACCAAATTCATTTTCCTACGATTATCTCATTCATGGGTTATGTTGCCAAGGCCGAACAAATAATGCTAAGCAGCTGTGCAATGAAATGAAGAGCAAAGGGTTTATGCTGAGTAGTAAATCATACAACTCACTTGTGAATGCTTTGGCTCTTCATGGAGAGGTTGAGGAAGCACTGAAGTATCTGTGGGAGATGATTGAGAATCGAAGATCAGCTGAATTCATTACTTATAAGACAATACTTGATGAAATCTGCAGACAAGGAAGGGTTGGCGAAGCAATGAAATTGTTGAAGGACTTCGAAGAGAAAGACCTTCTGAGTGGGCATGTTTACAGGAAGCTTCTATATGTGCTTGAAGACGACTATGGAGATCCAAATGCCCATGCTCAATTCAGGTAGTGTCATTGATCACCTGCAAGCACATCTCCCGTTTACTTTGATTTCATCTAGCACAAATTTACCGGACTTCAAGTGACTGAGAAGTATTCTTATCTTGGAGGAAAGCTATTAGTTAGCATCTTTTGATGTGAATAGAATCTGATCCAGTGTTTCCTTTTTGTTGTGGCAGATAAACACGTTTTACAAGTTACCCCTCTTATTGTTGAAGTTAAAACAGTGCATCATTACGTTGTGTTCGATGATTACAAAAAATGTTGCCATTTGGTCGAAAATCGTTTCAGGAAACAATAATATATTAACCCACCTCAAACAGTGATGTTAAGAAATCAGCACAGCTCACTCTCCGAGAACTTTCTGTCAAGCATGTATTCACCAGCATCTCTTCCCTTAGAACATGCTCCTGTGGCATCGTGCTTGTCCAAGACAAAGCCCGGAGAACTAGAAGATTCTTTGCTCAATTGGTACAAGAGCACCACCATCCCTCCCTCAGAATCCACAAACTCACTGGTCAGTACCCCCGACATTTGATCTGTGGTTTGTTTCTTTATGTTGCCAGAATTCTCAACTGTTTGAATGAATTAGTTAATAGATAAATAATTAAGAATAATGCGATTGATTGCGGCAGAGAAGGCGAGTGATGATGCCACTAAGAAGGCTGTGAGTGTGGCATAGCTTCTGGTGGAAGCAGTGAACTGTGGGGTGAAAGAATTGTTTGTAAACGAGAAACAAATCGATCTTGAAATTCAGGCATTGACTGCCGCCATTTCCCAATTCGTCAAACGGACTGATCAATGGCTCTCAGTCATGCACTCTATCAACACCGCCATTAAGGTTCATTTAATTTCTAAGGAACAAAATAATAATTAGCTTTTGAGAAATGTGAGCTAGAGTCACAAGACTCGTAACCAAAGCCACGCTTTTTGGCAATAGGTGTGCCGAAAATTCTGAAGTTCTTGAGAGTGGAATGTACTAATAGTTCCGACTCTTTTGTGGGTTTGTGTCGTAGGAAATCGGAGACGTTGAGAACTGGATGAAGATCATGGAATTTGATTCACAAAGCATCAATGCAGCCATCCACAGTATTCACCAAGTTTGATCCCGCAGGTCACAGGTCCCAGAAAGTTGTCCAGATTTGCTTTACAGACATTGTGGATGAACACTTGCGGTTCCAGTTGACTATTTTGTCGGCTGTCGTCTTCTTGAATCTCACTTGTTCGTGATTCCCCTAGCTGTTAATCAGAGGCCCGGTAAATACACGTATGTGAACCTTTTGTCATGTGATTTTACTTGTTTATAATTATGAATTGACTGGATTAGGATACCGAAAAAATTGTAATCCGAACTAGATGCATTCGAATTGAGGGAAAATTTAGAGGAAAAGGGTTTTGAAGAGCCCACATGCGGAAAGAATTTTGTTCTTGGGGGGAGGGGGGCAGAAGTTGGGTAAATAATTGCCGACTTTTTCATTAATTATTTCTCTTGACCTTGATTAATTTTTTTGAAAATTTATCTGTAGTATTCCTGAAATTACAGCCAACCACACTGAGTGGATAAGGCTTTGTTGTTGTTGTTTTGTTTTTCGGAAATTAGTTCTAGAATCCTTCTAGTGAATTATTTAAACAGACTCCTTTGATAGGGATTAGGGACCCTTAAGCCTGCTGGATTCCTTGTTCAATACCAACATAGCAAACTACCCCTAATATTTAAGTTGCTGGAAAAGTCATTTAATTATCTTTTGCAGTGAAAACCCTAATAATTTAGTTCTCTCTCTACAGGGGAATCAAACACCAGCTGAGGGAAAGCCCTAACAATCTTCCATCCGAGATCGTACACGAGATTCTTTCATGGCTGCCAGTTAAGTCCTTACGCCGCTTTGAGTGCGTCTCAAAGCCATGGTGTTCTCTGATCGCTGACCCCAAATTCAGCACAATGCACTTCAACAAGGCAATCAAAGACAGACCGTTTACTCTGCCAAAGACGAAGCTTCATAGTTACTTATGTGGCACATAATGGACTCTACTCCATGCACCTCGACGAGTTTCTCGATCATAATGATACCGATGAACAGAATTTAGTATCAGCCATCGAGCATGAGTATGTTTGTAGCGAAGTGTCAGGTATTTTCGTTTCCTTGTGTTCCTGCAACGACTTGTTATGCATGTTGTGTGACTCAAGGTTATATTTGGTTGACCCCTCCACCAAGGAAACCAAGAAACTGCCAGAAATACCAAAAGAAGAGAATTATTGGAATTCAGTCAAGGTATATGGGGTTGGATTTGATCGTTCCGCTTATGAACACAAGGTGGTTACGGGAATCTACAATAAACACGATCGCTTAACCAACCCCTTCATCGATGATTTCGATGAAGGGGTTGTGTTTAGTGTTTATACGCTGGAAACCGATTCTTGGAGAAAGATTGAGAGATTGTTTCCCTACATTACTAGTCAACAAGGAATTATGCTGAATGGAGATCTCCATTGATTTGGGGAAAGACTCGAAGATCAGTCACAAGTGATTGTTTCCCTCACTCTAACGGGGGGAGGAGAGAGTTCAAGAAATTCCACTCCCACTTGAATGCGATTCTGTTGAAAGTATTAAGAGGAAGATGAAATTGGGAGTCTTCAGACACTAGTTATGCATAACGCATCATTCTTATCCTCGTGGTGGAACATATAATGAGTTTTGGGTCATGACGGAATATGGAGTGGGGAGTCTTGGACTAAAACGAGGGTTTCCATCCCGTATTCAACGTTAAAACATTCCGGTTTCTAGACAGAGTCTCATGATTTGATGGTGTTCGGAGAACAGTTAATCATGTACAATTTTAATGACGAAAGCCATCGGAAAATCAATATTCGTGGAATCGGCAAAGTTGGTCGTGTTTTTACGTGCTTGGAGAGCCTTGTTTCACTTAAACAACGTCAAAGAAGTAATTTGAAGATTGAAGCGTAAAGAAAGATCAATCGTTTTGCTTTTGTTTCATTTTTCTTTTCATGGTTTTGGCTTTCTTTTGAATATGCTAGTCAACATTGAACAAAGGGTTCTAATATCTATAATGTTGATTAATACTTGTTATTGTTCTTGTCAAACTTCTCTCTTAATTGCCAAGTTTAGATTTATATATATATATATATATATATATATATATATATATATATTTTTTTTTTTTTTTTTTTTTTTTTTCTTTTGCTGGTCTTTACTACTATTACGCACTCAAGCACTAATCAGTTTGTGACAGTAACCATTTATTTGGATCTGCTCCACAATATATCTCAATGATTTCATTACTGAAGGGTCATTACTTTATAAATTCATTTCAATCGAAAAGTGAAGGTAATTGGATTCGGTAAGTTTGACAAATTGGGTGGTGTTGGGGTCGAGTAGAGAAGTATAAGAACAGGAAGACGTGCTGAAAGAGGAGACAAAGAGGAAGAGAGAAAAACCACCGAAAAGGATTGGGACAAACCCTAGGACCGAGTTAGGTCGATATCATATAGAAATATTATTCTTAGATTGTTTATGTATATAATGTTTACAATATATGGAATATTACATAACCTTAAGCGGTAGGAATCTAAATTATAATTACAACCAGTTGAACTATAGTATAAAAAAGCATATATTAAAAATAAGAATTCGGAGATGATTGTGATATTTTGACACGTAGATATATCGTCATGAGTAATGATATTCATACTATGTTTTTGTACCACATTTTCAAACCACCTTAGGTGGCATTTGATGTGGACAGCCATATCATTTGAATTAATCAGATTTTTAAATTTAGTTCATTATTTAATAAACTAATAGTTAAGAAAAACTAGTTAATTAAATGATGATTGTGGTATACGAGGAGTTTTTCTCCTTCATTTCCTTGGGTTTTGCAAAATTTTCAAATGATGTGGTTGTCCATATCAAATGCCACCTAAGGTGGTATAAAAATGTGGTACAAAAACATAGTATGAATAACATTACTCATATGACCATGTTCTCCTAAACCCCCATAATTAAAATTATGGCCACCCATCGGTCAATCTTAGTTGGCCACTCATTTAATATGCTACTAGCATTCTGCACATGCGTAACCTTCATGCACATGCTTACGCATGTGCAGAATGCATTTTTTGAATCACGGCGTGCTACGCGACATACACCTTTTAAATGTATTTATATGCGTAAATTGACAAAAAAAGAGTCAAATATTTGAAGTAAATGAATAATCTTAGATCATGCTAAAAGAAACTCTTCATAAACCAATTAAAGTAGCTGAATCCACATAATAAAATCGGTATCTATTGAATTTATATTAAGAATATAGAAAATAAAATTTAATAAACAACTTATTGAATCACATTATTCCTAACCCATTGTGAGGTTAAGCCCACACCCTCCCCCTTAGTGTAGATAATATCTTTTGTTCAAAAAAAAAAAAAAAAAAACAATCATTTGACAACTAATTTAATCACATTATTATCCGCGTGCAAAAGACCTTTTTTATAACCGGCATTCCATGCCTGTCACATCCCGGCCCGGGATATATATATATATATATATATATATATATATGTTTTTATATGGAATTATGTTTTGCTTGCCATGTCGTAAATAAGTTACATTTTAAATATTGCATTGTTACACTTGTGAATTATGTTGCACACTCTTATATTTAGGCATTTTTATGTTTAAATTTATTCATATTTTCCACATCACTGCACTTTATAGTTTCCTCACCTTCCAGGTGTCGGCCAGCACAGCTCGATTCGGAGTCCTAGCGGACATTCCAGGTCGGGGTATGTCAACACATCTTAAGATGTTTTGAACGTGTTTAAAAATAGAGAAAATAATATTTAATGAACAACTGATTGAATTACATTATTGCTAGCCTATTGTGAGGTACTAATTATTTAAAAAAAATAAAAATGTATAGAAAAAATTAGAGAGCTGCTAAACTCACCCCGTTGTCTTATTTTCCCACCCACGTTATATTTACACCCACTATAAAAAGTTAAAAAATTAAAATGTTATTTTCTCACCCACTATTATTCCTAAAATAACCCTATATATAATTAGAGATAAATTTCTCTTAAAAAAAGAATATAAACAAATATTTTACTCTCTTCTAAACAAATAATATTACTCTCTTCAATTTTCGTCAAGCTCCACAATCTCTCTAGTTATAACAGTAGACCCTACAATAAGTTTGAATTGTTGTATACGATCAATGTACGGAGGTTCACAATATCTTTCCCAATTTGTCGCTATAGGAGGAATTGGATGACCTGATTTCAAAAAACACCTGCATAAAAGTACAACTTAATTAAACTAGACTACAAGAAAATTATAACTTAAAGTAAATGCATTCAATCCTTATAAGATCATTTGCAAAAAATTGCTAAACATAGCGTGAGAGTTATCACACTCAAACTTTTCTTTTTTATTTTATATATATAAAAAAAGTAATGCAAAAGGGGGTATCCAAGGTTTTTATTAGTCATTTTACAAATGGACAATTTGTAATTAAAAAATTCATAAAAAGGTGGGTGGGAAGATAAGACATCGGGGTGGGAATAACACCTCTCAAAAATTAATTATTAAAAAAACACTGTCAATTTGTCAAAAATACCCCTGCCACATTTGTTGCATTATTTTGAGTTGCTTTTGAAGTTTTTTGTTTGAGGGGTATTTTTGTCTAATTATGTTTGGTTAAGCTTGTGACACCAAAAAACATTATTCATTGGGCCCTTGGCTTTATATATAAAGATGAGGGGATTCAAATTTGGCATATTTATCACAAATTGCAAAGAGTCTCTTACTTTTAAATGCTTTTTAAATTCTTCTACCAGCATCTAAAATTCCGCTGTAGCACAAAAAATTGGTTTGAGCATTGTTTCACAACAACCGGGTTCGAATCCCGGCAGCGGAAATTATTTTTGTTATTTATTTCTATAACTAAATTTTATTTATTTAAAGGAACTTGTTATTGGTATTCCAAAAATCTCATTTTATACTTCAAACCTTCTATAATTAGTAAAAAAATTATACTTGTGAGGTGTGTAGAATGAGACTTTTGAAAAAAGGCTATATTCTCATTTTACACTTCAAACCTTCTATAATTAGCAAGCATGATCTCACAGGTCACAGTTCACAGGTTGTCCAGATTTGCTTTACAGACACTGTGGATGAACACTTGGGGTTCTGGTTGATTATTTTGTCGGCTGTCTTGTTGAATCTCACATGTTCGTGATTCCCCTAGCTGTTAATCAGAGGCCCGGTAAATACACGTATGTGAACCTTTTGTCACGTGATTTTACTTGTTTATAATTATGAAGTCACTGGATTAGCATACCCAAATAATTGTACTCTGAACTAGATGTAATCGAATTGAGCAAAAATTGAGGAAAAGGATTTGAAGAGCCCACATGCGGAAAGAATTTTGTTCTGAGGGGAGGAGGGGGCAGAAGTTGGGTATGTAATTGATGATTTTTTCTTTTCTCATCTCTTGACCTTGATTAATTTCATTGAAAACTTATCTGTAGTATTTCGGAAATTACAGTCGACCCACTTAGTTGGATAAGGCTTTGTTGTTTTGTATTTCGGAAATTAATTCTAGAATCCTTCAGTCAGACTCCTTAATTACCTTTGATAGGGATAGGGCCCTTAACCCTGCTGGATTCCTTGTTCAATGCCAACATTGCAGGTCCTAAAACACGGCTAGGACTAGAATAACAAGCAAACTACCCCTAATATATAAGTTGCTGGAAAAGTCAGTTAATTATCTTTTGCATTGTAACCCCTAATAATTTAGTTCTCTCTGCAGGAGAATGAAACCCCAGCTGGGGGAAAGCCCTAGCCACCTTCCGTCCGAGCTCATACACGAGATTCTTTCATGGTTGCCAGTTAAGTCCTTGCGCCGCTTTGAGTGCGTCTCAAAGCCATGGCGTTCTCTAATCGCCAACCCCAAATTCATCACAATGCACTTCAACAAGGCAATCAAAGACAAAGACACTCTGCCAAAGACGAAGCGTCATAGTTACTGATGTGGCACAGGTATCAGCCATCGAGCACGAGTATGTAGCGAAGTGTCGGGTTTTTTCGTTTCCTTCTTGTGTTCCTGCAACGACTTGTTATGCATGTTGTGTGACTCAAGTTTATATTTGGTTGACCCCTCCACCAAGGAAACCAAGAAACTGCCGAAATACCAAGAGAAGAGAATTATCGGAATTCAGTCAAGGTATACGGGGTTGGATTTGATCGTTCCACTAATGAACACAAGGTGGTTACGGGAATCTACAATAAACACGATTGCTTAACCAACCCCTTCATCGATGATTTCAATGAAGGGGTTGTGTTTAGTGTTTATACGCTGTAAACCGATTCTTGGAGAAAGATTGAGAGATTGTTTCCCTACATTACAAGTCAACAGGGGATTTTGTTGAATGGAGATCTCCATTGTTTCGGGGAAAGACTCGAAGATCAGTCACAAGCGATTGTTTCCCTCGCTCTAACGAGGAAGGAGAGGGTTCGAGAAATTTCACTCCCACTTGAATGCGATTCTGTTGAAAGTATTAAGAGGTAGATGAAATTGGGAGTCTTCAGACACTGTTTATGCATAACGCATCATTCTTATCCTCGTGGTGGAACATATAACGAGTTTTGGGTCATGACGGAATATGGAGTGAGGGAGTCTTGGACTAAAACGAGGGTTTCCATCCTGTATTCGACATTAAAACATTCCGGTTTCTGGACAGAGTCTCATGATTTGATGGTGTTCGGAGAACAGTTAATCATGTACAATTTTAATGACGAAAGCCATTGGAAAATCAACATTCGTGGAATCGGCAAAGTTGGTTGTGTTTTTACGTGCTTGGAGAGCCTTGTTTCACTTAAACAGCGTCAAAGAAGTAATTTGAAGATTGAAGCGTAAAGACAGATCAATCGTTTTGCTTTTGTTTCATTTTTCTTTTCATGGTTTTGGCTTTCTTTTGAATATGCTATAGTCAACATTGAACAAAGGGTTCTAATATCTATAATGTTGATTAATACTTGTTATTGTTCTTGTCAAACTTCTCTCTTAATTGCCAAGTTTAGATTTATATATATATATATATATATATATATATATATATATATATTTTTTTTTTTTTTCTTTTGCTGGTCTTTACTACTATTACGCACTCAAGCACTAATCAGTTTGTGACGGTAACCATTTATTTGGATCCGCTCCACAATATATCTCAATGAATATATGTTTTAGATCATTACTGAAAGGTCATTACTTTATAAATTCATTCAAATCGAAAAGTGAAGGTAATTGGATTCGGTAAGTTTGACAAATTGGGTGGTGTTGGGGTCGAGTAGAAAAGTATAAGAAGAGGCAGACGTGCTGAAAGAGGAGACAAAGAGGGAGAGAGAAAAACCACTGAAAAGGATTGGGACAAACCCTAGGACCTAGTTAGGCCGAGATCATATAGAAATATTATTCTTTGATTGTTTATGTGTATAATGCTTACAATATATAGAATATTACATAACCTTAAGCGGTAGGAATCTAAATTATAATTACAACCAGTTGAACTATAGTATAAAAAAGCATATATTAAAAATAAGAATTCGGAGATGATTGTGATATTTTGACACGTAGATATATCGCCATGAGTAATGCTATTCATACCATGTTTTTGTACCATATTTTCATACCACCTTATAAGGCATTTGATGTGGACAACCATATCATTTGAATTAATCAGATTTTTAAATTTAGTTCATTATTTAATAAACTAATAGTTAAGAAAAACTAGTTAATTAAATGATGATTGTGGTATACGAGGAGTTTTTCTCCTTCATTTCCTTGGGTTTTGCAAAATTTTGAAATGATGTGGTTGTCCACATCAATGCCACCTAATGTGGTATAGAAATGTGGTACAAAAACATGATATGAATAACATTACTCATATGACCATGTTCTCCTAAACCCACATAATTAAAATTATGGCCACCCATCGGTCAATCTTAGTTGACCACTCACTTAATATGCTACTAGCCTTCATGCATGCGCTTACGTGTGTGCATAATGCATTTTTTGAATCACGACGTGCTACGCGTCATACACGTTTTAAATGTATTTATATGCATAAATTGACAAAAAAAAAAGGTCAAATATTTGAAGTAAATGAATAAGCTTAGATCATGCTAGAAGAAACTCTTCATAAACCAATTAAAGTAGCTAAATCCACATAATAAAATCGGTATCTATTGAGTTTATATTAAGAATATAGAAAATAAAATTTAATAAACAACTTATTGAATCACATTATTCCTAACCCATTGTGAGGTTAAGCCCACACCCTCCCCTTAGTGTAGATAATATCTTTTGTTCAAAAAAAAAAAAAATCATTTGACAACTAATTTAATCACATTATTATCCGCGTATGAAAGACATTTTTTATAACTGGCATTTCACGCCTGTCACATCCCGGCCCGGGATATATATATATATATATATATATATATATATATATATATTACATTTTAAATAGGGAACTTTAACGAAAAGCACCCGGTACTGTTCACTTTAACGAAAAACCACATTTTTACACTAAAAAGTCAATCCTGGTACTATTCACTTTACCCTTTATTTTGTCCTTATCATTAAAACTCAAAGTTTTCAAGCCCTTTTCATTAGTTTTCCTTTTTAAATATTGCATTGTTACACTTGTGAATTGTGTTGCATACTCTTATATTTAGGCACTTTTATGTTTAAATTTATTCATATTTTCCACATAACTATATTTTATGGCTTCGTCACCTTCCAAGTATCGGCCAGCACAGCTCGATTCGGAGTCCTAGCGGACATCCCAGGTCGAGGTATGTCAACACATCTTAAGATGTTTTGAACGTGTTTATAAAATAGAGAAAATAATATTTAATGAACAACTGATTGAATCATATTATTGCTAGCCTATTGTGAGGTACTAATTATTTAAAAAAAATAAAAATGTATAGAAAAAATTAGAGAGCTGCTAAACTCACACCGTTGTCTTATTTTCCCACCCACGTTATATTTACACCCACTATAAAAAGTTAAAAAATTAAAATGTTATTTTCTCACCCACTGTTATTCCTAAAATAACCCTATATATAATTAGAGATAAATTTCTCTTAAAAAAAGAATATAAACAAATATTTTACTCTCTTCTAAACAAATAATATTACTCTCTTCAATTTTCGCCAAGCTCCACGATCTCTCTAGTTATAACAGTAGACCCTACAATAAGTTTGAATTGTTGTATACGATCAATGTACGGAGTAGCCCATTCTAAACACCATCGTTCACAATATCTTTCCCAATTTGTCGCTATAGGAGGAATTGGATGACCTGATTTCAAGAACACCTGCATAAAAGTACAACTTAATTAAACTAGACTACAAGAAAATTATAACTTAAAATAAATGCATTCAATCCTTATAAGATCTTCTGTAAAAAATTTATAAACATAGCGTGAGAGTTATCACACTTAAACTTTTCTTTTTTATTTTATATATAAAAAAAAAGTAATGCAAAAGGGGGTATCTAAGGTTTTTATTAGTCATTTTACAAATGGACAAATTTGTAATTAAAAAATTCATAAAAAGGTGGGTGGGAAGATAAGACATCGGGGTGGGAATAACACATCTCAAAAACTAATTATTAAAAAAACACTGTCAATTTGACAAAAATACCCTTGCCACATTTGTTGCATTATTTTGAGTTGCTTTTGAAGTTTTTTGTTTGAGGGGTATTTTTGTCTAATTATGTTTGGTTAAGCTTGTGACACCAAAAAACATTATTCATTGGGCCCTTGGCTTTATATATAAAGATGAGGGGATTCAAATTTGGCATATTTATCACAAATTGCAAAGAGTCTCTTACTTTTAAATACTTTTTAAATTCTTCTACCAGCATCTAAAATTCCGCTGTAGCACAAAAAATTGGTTTGAGCATTGTTTCACAACAACCGGGTTCGAATCCCGGCAGCGGAAATTGTTTTTGTTATTTATTTCTATAACTAAATTTTTTATTTATTTAAAGGAAATTGTTATTGGCATTTCAAAAATATCATTTTATCAAATCTTCTATAATTAGTGAGAAAATTATACTTGTGAAGTGTGTAGAATGAAACTTTTGAAGAAAGGCTATATTCTCATTTTACACTTCAAACCTTCTATAATTAGCAAGAAAATTATATTTATGAAAAGTGTAGAATAAGATTTTTAAAGAAATGCTATATTCATATAAAAAAGTGTATTTTTTTTCAAACCAAACCAATAGAAAGTAGAAGCACCTCTACACATGCTTCTAAAAAAAAAAAAAAAAATCTTTTTTCATTAGAGGCAGGTGAAAATAGTATTAATTAATGAAACTTTTATATTGACAATCCTAACCCCATCTTTTTCTTGCTAAAGGCACTTTTACCACCTAGTTTATCCAACCTTTGGTTTTTTTTTTTTTTTTTTTTTTTCACAATGGTTTATTCTTACACCACAACAAAAGTAAGTTCTAAAAATCCGCTGTAGCACGAAAAATTGGTTTGAGCATTGTTTCACAACAACTGGGTTCGAATCCCGGCAGCGGAAATTGTTTTTGTTATTTATTTCTATAACTAAATTTTTTATTTATTTAAAGGAAATTGTTATTGACATTCCAAAAATCTCATTTTATACTTCAAACCTTCTATAATTAGTAAGAAAATTATACTTGTGAGGTGTGTAGAATGAGACTTTTGAAGAAATGCTATATTCTCATTTTACACTTCAAACATTCTATAATTAGCAAGAAAATTATATTTATGAGGAGTGTAGAATGAGATTTTTGAAGAAAAGCTATATTCATATAAAAAAAAGTGTATTTTTTTCAAAATGATGGATCCAAACCAATAGAAAGCAGAAGCACCTCTACACATGCTTCTAAAAATAAAAATAAAAAAAGAAATCTTTTTTCATTAGAGGCAGGTGAAAATAGTATCAATTAATGAAACTTTTATATTGACAATCCTAACCCCATCTTTTTCTTGCTAAAAGCACTTTTACCACATAGTTTATCCAACATTTGGTTTTTATTTTTATTTTTTTCACAATGGTTTATTCTTACAACACAGCAAAAGTAAGTTTGAAAAAAAATAACACAATAACCAGAAACAAGCCATAATTGTACGTTCCTATACTCGTTTCTCTCTCAATTAATTAGGATTTTCTCCATAAACATAATTAAGGAGTACCTAAGTACCAAGACTACTGATCAACCGGATATACGTTGATAATTTCGAATCCAAACAATTGACACTCACAACGAAATCAGTTTAAAACACACACTAATCAAATTAACTGCAAATAAACGTTCATAAATACGTCTTTTAGCAGTTGAGACCACAGTACCTGGTGAATAAAACGATTAAGAAGAACAGGAAAAATTTGATCAAAGAATATCATTAAACTTGACAGGCTAAGCTGCCTATGCCTAGGTTTGTGACTTGCGATTTCTCTTTTCCTCGATACCCGACTGAGAAAACCTACGCCGAAGAATTTCCAAAACCTCTTCCATTTTCACGCCTTTACGGGCCAGAAGAGCCATGCCATGATAAAGCACATCTGCCATCTCTGAGGCAGCACGCAGCCTGTCTTCGTTCTCCTCTAGTGTTCGGCATAGCTCATCCGCCTCTTCCCTGGATCGAGAAAGAAAAACCACGAACAGAGGCTTACAAGTGAAAATACAGAAGATAGCTCATTTAGTAATATAGTTTTCGACAATGAGGATAACATCTATAACTCGAACCACCCAAAAGTCTGTATCTGAGAATAACAAGGATATTACTTCTCTAATTCCTTCTGCTACCTTTTTTCGAGTTCTTGAGAAGTTAAGATAAAATGCAAATTTATATCATTCTGACTCAAATCTGACACAATATGACATTTTGAACATTTTACCTGATTTTTGAGCACAACAACTTCTCATCAGATAGTAGACGCCGAGTCCATGAGGGCTTTCCACTCTCTGGAACTTCTAACTCTTCTTTTCGCTTAGCAATTGTTGACTCTAACGAGTACAAAGTGGTCAATGCCAATTTATGTTCTTCGTCCTGTCACAAATCATCTGAATCACTTACAAAACAAGTAATTTGATGCTTGATAAAAATATATAGGTTATTTTAATTGATTAATATTGAAAACCTGTCGATGTTCCAACAAATCAAGAACTGGGGTGTAATAGCACGTCTCTGACCCTGTGTGGCAAGTAGGTCCATCAGGCTTCCCAAGGTATATTATCTGAGAAAAAGGTCTGAGTTAAAGTAGTTGAGGATTAGAAAATGGGTTCCAACTAAAATAGCCAATGACATACCGAGTCTCGGTCACAATCAAGGAAGATTTCTTGAACATTAATGAAATTATTGGAGGTCTCTCCCTTTGTCCACAATGTTGATCGCGACCGACTGTAGAATGTAGCCTTCCGGGAGGAAACTGTCGTGGCCACTGCTTCCCTGTTAGCAAAGCCTTGCATCAAGATGGCTCCTGTGTCAACGTTTTGAGCTATGGCAACTGCCAAACCTTTCTCATCCCATTTTACACTGTCTAACACTGTTTCAACCTGAAATATTATTGGTGGATATTATAATCTCCTCCATTTACATGTTCTATTCTGAAAATGGGAAGAGGAAAAAGACGGCATCCAAAATAAACTAAGTGAAGATGCATACATTACATCTATTGGCACTACAGTACCTGTCACGATATGAGAGTGATTTGTAACAAGTTTAGCACATATACGAAACTAAGTGAAGATGAATACATGTCATCTATTGGCACTACTTGTAGGTACATGTTTTGTACATTCAAGGAAAGGGGGTTGGTCTCTAGATTCCAGATGGGGCTCAAATATCAGGAAATGACAAACTACATCAAATTTCCTTCTGTATAATTCTTAGTAAACACCTACTATGAATATTGAATGATAAGAACTCCATAAATATAGAAAAATTAAGAAAGCAAAACACAATTTTTCTTTTTACTGAATTATGTAGTGCCCTGTATGGTTGAGTTGCATTTCCGCAGAACATGGGTTAAGTAAAAATTTAGGGCTTGGTTAAGCAGTATTACCACTCATTCTGTAGGATGATTCATGCTAAGTCACAAGATCAAAATGAAGCAGTGTAATTAAAAAAGAAGATATAACAAGGCTATCTTTATCATCAGAAGCAGCTAAAGGAGTGTTGCAGTTCTATTCGGTACTGATTTCTGTAAATGCTGATGGGTTTATCAAAACATATTCAAACAATGAAGAATCCTTCTGTAATTTCTCTATTCAACATCTCAATTAGAAATATTTCTAGTAAAGAATGACAATCAACATTAAGTTAGTGAAATAGGTACCTTTGATTGCAGATGGAGGTCCCTGTCAAAGTTGCTGGTGGAGGAAGCGTAAACAAGAGAACTGCTCTTTCTACTGAAATTGCTTCTACCATAGTGATACTGGTTAGAAACGGAAACGCGGCAAGGGGAAGAAACTCTCACAGGTTGCAGAGAATGCAAATGTGGAATCGCCATTCACATCAACTTTCCTGAGACATAAATACAAGATGAAGTCATTTGTCACCAAAAAGGAACAATGGAAATAAGAAAATAATATCAATTACAAATGCATCCACAATGATACCTAGGATTGAAGAAATATGCGTGAGTCCCCCAAAGTTAAAAAATCTTGAGAGGAATTAAGACAATGGAAATCGTATCTGCAATAATACAATAGATAAATCATGAGAGTTATGATAGAAATATGTGTGTGTGTGTGTGTGTGTGAGAGAGAGAGAGAGAGAGAGAGAGAGAGAGAGAGAGAGAGAGAGAGAGATAAAGAGAGAGAATACCATAGCAGAGAACTTCTCCAACCAGTCCCTTTCTGATTCTTATGATTCCCTAAATAAAAAAGAGAAGTTTATAATAATTCTTTATAGGGTCCTCTCCTCAGAAGCTAACATAATTCTGTGTTGTACATAAAAAATGGGAAATCGAGCATTGGTTTAACTTAGTATTCATCTTGTCAGATATTGATTCACATGAAATGAATACAGTTCCACAAAGGATTCATGTTGAGGTGATGCAATGATAGAAAATTATATGATTTCATATTCTAATCACCCATATCGACTATAGCTGGAGCAGGATCCATATCAACAGCCGCATAATCAATTTTTCAGGAACCAATAATATGAACGACATATCAATGATCGATCACGTATAGCTATGTATATTCCATAATCACCCAATAAGAATATTCAGTACATCAATGTAAGTTTTTTTGTTCCATAACAATGCAGAACCAAACCTCCTATAGTCCTATGAAGGGGGTTTCGATTAAACCGGTTCAAATGTATTCCAAAAGTTCAAACCTTCTTGCAAAATGTCCTCACAACAACATCAGTAGCTGCCTCCCTATAATTTATAAACATATTTGAACACATTTTTACAAAATTCCCATCAAGTTTCTACTGAAAATTTAAAACCCAGGCATATATTACTTAAATGCTCCAAACTTTACACCACTTAATTACTCCAAATCCAAAGCAACAGCATTAATCAATTTTTTCTTCCAAAACCCATTATTTTTTATTGGGTATCAATGAATTCTTCACAACCCATGAATTTGCAGAGCTTTTTTAGTAAATTCAAAACCAGCATTAATCAGTGGGTGTATGTGAAAAAGGAAAAAAACTAGGAACGGAATCCATTTTAGTAACATGTATTCATACCTCAAGAATCTGAACAGAGCTAGAGTAAAAAGGGAGGCGTACTTGGTTGCTGCCAGGGCTGGGCATGGGCCGGGCCAGGCCAAATTTTGAAGGAACGGACCGGACCGGAGTTTAAAAAAAAAAAGGGTTGGTCCGGGGCAGGTACAACAGATTTTAAAACAGGAACCGGACCTAACTCGGCCCGTTTCAAACGGGCCGGTTTGGTCCGGGTACACGGGTCCCTTTTTTTTTTTTGGGAAATAAAAAACACTTAATTTTTACAGATTTTACAGTGCCCTAGAAGAAGCATTACGATGCCAGACTAAGTTAACCTAACTACATAGCAGCTGATCTTCAATTAACTAAGTTAACCTAACTACAAACAAAACAGACCACAGAATCATAACACAAGACTACTAAAATATAGGGCTGCATATGTTTTATTACATTACGAATGCCTTCTGACATTGGTCAACAGAACTATAAGGTCACAGGATCTTCCAGTTCCTAAAGAAAATAAATAATGCCTAAACAGGAATGCGAGAAGCAGAGGGAAAAAGGAAGAGCAGCTTAAAAATAGGCTCAACCCTGAGGAAAAAGGAACAGCAGCTAACAATAGACTCAAATTAGACACAGAACAGGAAATCCACCAAATAAGTTCTAAGCATTAACATTCTGGTTGCCAACCAACCAGTCGGTGATTATTTGATCTCGTGCAATGTATAAATGATGTCATGCACAAGATGAGGATAATGAATTTAAGCAGCAAGTGTGGTTTCAAGACAGATCAGTCCAGAATATAAGTTCTTGAGGCTATAAAATGATGAAATTTACAGAAACCAACCTCAAGAATCTGGAGCCACTCTTCTCCAGACAGCTGCAAGAGAGAAACGATAAAAATGTAAGTTACTCTTGACCATCTACATTTATCAGACCAAAATCAATAGTGGGTTTGAATGGTGAAATGAATACAGTGGGAAGAAGACTTTTACTAACCTTATTCAGCCGCCGGGAAACTAGTCCTTTCTGGTTCAGTGTACTCCACCTTATCTTCCACCTTTCACCTACAACAAAAGAAACAAAAATAGCCTAACTTTACCAACCCTTGAAATCTGCCCTAGGGGGTCATAAGAAACACAATCACCCTATCCAAGTACATGCCCTAGGGGTCACAGATTCATTAAACACAAGATCAAAGTAATAATGCCAACTCTAAATTGATTATGGATTTTGCAACTTAACTAAAGACGAGAAGTTAAAGGATCTGAATCAGTAACAATACAACTGACGTATTTTTGGGAATCAACATCACTTCATCAAGATACTCTGAAATTACAAAACATAGCTCGTAAAGACCATAAAATATTGTAATGATATAATCCATGAAGGCAAGGATAAAAGCTACCAAAATTTGAATCCCCACATCACAACCCACAATTCCTAGGAATTTCTAGTCAAATTAACCATTCCTAAAGAGCCCAGATTTCAACCTCACACAAGCTGTCCCCACTCAGATTGACTCAATTCACCATAGAGAATGTGGTGGTCGACGATTTTACCACTCAATCAGACAAACACACTCTCATACAACCTGTTCGTACCCATATCTGTGATTAATTTCAACATGTTCAGAAGGTAATAGCTAAATCAGAACCAACCTTCATTGGTCTGGGCATTGCTGACGACGAGGTCATAATCAACAGAGTCGAGCTCGGGGTGGTGGAGGAGACGACGAGGCGAGAAGGCCAGAGAGAATCGAGTCGAGCTCGAGGAGACATAGGTCCTAGGGTAAAACTAACGGTTCAGATTTGCTGGTAGGTTCCTTTTCAATCCCGTCCGTCCATTGCAATTACAAACGGGCCGGTCCGGATCCCCGTTTTTCTATACTTCTGAAACTGCCCCGCTCCTAAAATTTCAAAGCCCCACCCCTGCACATTTCTCTTTTTAAAAATTAGGAACCCGTCCGTATCTCTGTCCCGACCCACGGTTCCTATACCTGTTTGCCCACCCCCAGTTACTAACCGCTGTTTGCTGAACGTTTGTTGCTGCTGCTCAAGTGGTGCCGTTTTACGAAAAGGATTTTTCCTCCACAAAATTCACCAGTCCGGACATTTGAAATTTGATTCAACGGTTAAAGTTATCATAACTTTTAAAGGAACCTGCTTTTAATTGGTTGATCAAATTTTAAGAGCCCGAATTGATGAGTTTGGTATAAATGATCAGAGAGGATCCTTTCCCTATTTTATGACAATACAAAACATTATATATCACAAAGGAGGCACGTGTGCAAAAGAAAAAAAAAAAAGAGGCTCGTGCGGTTTGTTACGGGATCCACTAGATTGGCCTAAACCCAGCCAAACCCAACTTTTGGCCCAAATACGTTTTGAATTGAAATGACTACCCAGAAAATTGATCTCCACACCAAATCCCAAATGTTGACATCTTAGTGCCAATTCTACCCATTATTAGTCTAGTGGTAATTTTCATTACGAATGAGTTTGATATTTTAGATCGTCTTTAATAGAAATGTCAAATTTAATTTTTATAGTTGTTGAATGTCAAATTTAATTTTTATAGTTGTTGTCACAAAATAGAATTCTGTAAAGTCTTCTATTCCAACCAAGTTTTCTGAGAGTGAGATTTGGTGCAAGGAGGATGTTAAGCGGATGACACTTCTTCTTGGATGGCGTCTTATGGTCAAGCTAGGCAAGGTTTCTTTTCTACCGACTTGTGGTTGGTTTGGTATTACTTTGCTTTGAAAAAAAAAATTTGTTTCTGCTGTGCTGTGAGAATAAGCAGCTGTGAAAAAAAGCTGATTTTTCAAAGCTGGGTTTTTCATATTTGTGTTTTTGGCTTTTTTCACCCAAAGCTGTGAAAAAAGCTGAAGTTGAATGTTTACCAAACCAAGACTTGATCTCATTATGGCATTTGGTATTTTATGGAGAAAATTTCTTAGTGTGTTAGGAATAGAGGTGGACACCACGTGTCATTATATAAGTGGTGAAGAGTTTATTTTTTAAGTTATTAATTTTTTTAACACAAGTATCTCACTATTTGTATAGTGACGTATGATGTACCACTGTGTTTTGAGCACGCTAAAAATTCTCTCGTATTTCATATTTCATGGTTATTGGCACATCTTTGTTGACTTCTAGTGAGTGAGTTTTCAAGTTAAAACTTTTGTTTTTAATTATTATTTTTTATATTTGATCTTAATTTTTTTTTTTCAAATGATAAATTTTATTAGATTGAATATTTAATTAGTTACTGACAAAATCCAAACTCAATACGGTTATGCAAGAGCTCAATAAGCAGAAAATACAAAATACGAGAGAGGTAAATCAACATAATGAAATGAAAGGACAAGATGGTCATTTACTGAGAAAGAATACGCGAAACGGCAAAGTGGCAACATCATGTGTAAACATTAGGGCATCACCACACGCACAAGCCAGCCGCAGTGCTAAGTAAACGTTATAACCGTTAGATCAAATACCAAACATCCAACGGCTCAGAAAGAAACCCTAACGAAACTGATGCAGCACTCGCTCCCCTTTAAATCCCCGAGGTCCTCACTGCCATCTTCCTCTACTCGATCTCGCTCCTGATTACAAAGTCTGCGGCGAGAGAGAACCCCCTTCCATCTTTCACTCCTCGATTACTTGAGGTTAGCATTTCTGCTTAAACTTCTATGGCTTCAAAATTCTTGAAATCTTTGTTGATCTTCTTGGTTTGCATGAATATTTGTATTCTGATTTGGTTTTTGAAGGAAAATGATGATTTGGTTTTTGGTTGTGGATATTTGTGTGATCTTTTTTCATTTGCGTTCGTGGGTTTTGAAGAAACTGCATGTGGGTTTCTTGTGTTTTTTTTTTTTTTTTTTTTCTGAAAATGTTTGAGGATTTATGAACTGGGTTCTTGAATGTGCATGCAAATCCTTTAGCTTCTTGTATCAGATGCGGAAGATCTAATAAGATTTGGGTTTATCTTTTTTACCATATTAGGCTTCATTATCTGGTTTGTGGATTTATCAGTTCCATGTGACTCGTTCCCTTGAAGCAATATTAATCGTGTTGCTTTCCATAAATTTTTACCTCGAATTTTCTCTTGTTTATTTGAGGATTATTGGTGCAACTAAACTTATTCATAAATTAATTTCGAAATTTGTATTTAAAACGTTTAATTTTGTTACATTTAGTAATATCATGCATTTGGGTTCAATAAATTGATTGTAACATTGATGATTCCTACAGACCTGTAATGATTTGCGGATATGATCGCAGATCTAAGAACATCTAAGGGACTGAGTTCAATTTTCTCTTGTTTATTTAGGAACACTGTAGCAACTAACTTTTTTGGTTGTGCATGTTTTTAAATTATATTAAAATTTATCTTTGTTTCTTTTAATTTGTAAATCCTGTAAATATTTACTTATTTTGTAGTAACTGTGATGATTCCTTCAGACCTGTAATGATTTGCGGTAATGATCGCATATCTAAGAACATCTAAGGGACTGAGTTCTATTTTATATTTCCATAAATACTTTACATTGTTGATTTGGATTTAATTTCTTATAATATATGCTGTCTGCCTAATTGTTTGATGATTAATTGGCCATGCCTAGATGATTGTATATTTCATTCAGGCTAATTGCCCGTTGTGTTTTGATGATTGTTGTTTTCTGCACTTTCAGATAACTTGCTGAGATCCCATCATGGGTAAGGAAAAGTTTCACATCAACATTGTGGTCATTGGCCATGTCGACTCTGGGAAGTCAACCACCACTGGTCACTTGATCTACAAGCTTGGAGGTATTGACAAGCGTGTCATTGAGAGGTTCGAGAAGGAGGCTGCTGAGATGAACAAGAGGTCATTCAAGTATGCTTGGGTGTTGGACAAGCTCAAGGCTGAGCGTGAGCGTGGTATTACCATTGATATTGCCTTGTGGAAGTTTGAGACCACCAAGTACTACTGCACTGTTATTGATGCTCCCGGACATCGTGATTTCATCAAGAACATGATCACTGGTACCTCCCAGGCTGATTGTGCTGTCCTCATTATTGATTCCACCACTGGTGGTTTTGAGGCCGGTATTTCCAAGGATGGTCAGACCCGTGAGCATGCTCTGCTTGCTTTCACTCTTGGTGTCAAGCAGATGATTTGCTGCTGCAACAAGGTGGGTCTTATACATTATTTGGGGACATTTCAGTTGTTATGGTTGTACTTATTTGTGGACAGTTCTAACTTATGTTTCATTATTTCTGAATTTTGCAGATGGATGCCACTACTCCCAAGTACTCGAAGGCAAGGTACGATGAAATCGTGAAGGAAGTCTCATCCTACCTCAAGAAGGTTGGGTACAACCCTGACAAAATTGCCTTTGTCCCCATTTCTGGATTTGAGGGTGACAACATGATTGAGAGGTCCACCAACCTAGACTGGTACAAGGGACCAACCCTTCTTGAGGCCCTTGACCTGATCAATGAGCCCAAGAGGCCCTCAGACAAGCCCCTCCGTCTCCCACTTCAGGATGTGTACAAGATTGGTGGCATTGGAACTGTGCCTGTGGGACGAGTTGAAACTGGTGTTGTGAAGCCTGGTATGGTTGTGACCTTCGGTCCCACTGGTCTGACCACTGAAGTTAAGTCTGTTGAGATGCACCATGAAGCTCTTCAGGAGGCTCTTCCCGGTGACAATGTCGGGTTCAATGTTAAGAATGTTGCTGTCAAGGATCTGAAGCGTGGTTTTGTTGCTTCCAACTCCAAGGATGATCCTGCAAAGGAGGCTGCCAACTTTACCTCTCAGGTCATCATCATGAACCACCCTGGGCAGATTGGAAATGGTTATGCTCCAGTGCTCGATTGCCACACCTCCCACATTGCTGTCAAGTTTGCTGAGATCTTGACCAAGATTGACAGGCGATCCGGTAAGGAGCTTGAGAAGGAGCCCAAATTCTTGAAGAACGGAGATGCTGGTATGGTTAAGATGATTCCCACCAAGCCCATGGTTGTCGAGACCTTCTCTGAGTACCCCCCTCTCGGACGTTTTGCTGTGAGAGACATGCGCCAGACCGTTGCTGTGGGTGTGATCAAGAGTGTGGAGAAGAAGGAGCCAACTGGTGCCAAGGTGACCAAAGCCGCAGCCAAGAAGAAGTGAAGTGTTTTATGTTATCGTCCCGCCCTTAGCTAGATCAGTTTTGTCTGAAGTCGTTTATTTTCCATTTTTGTGCTACTCTCGGAGTTACTTGGACAGGTTTTACAAGTTTTACATCGTAGCCCTCTTGCCTTGCTTGCAAGGATTGTGGAGGAGCTGAGCCGCTAGAAGCGATTCTGGTTGCTCGGCAAGCTGTGTTGTATGCTATTTGTTGGTTTATACATTGAAATCGGTCGTTTAGTGGGTCATTGGACAACTTTGTATTAATGTCCGCAATCTGTGTTAAATCTGCTTGTGTTAAAATTGTCTTCTTGGCTTTTGCTCTTATGTTTTCTTTTTAGATCTGAATTTCGGGCGTGCCGAGTTTTTATGTGGTGAATACCACACTTTGTGCAGACCGTGTTTCGGATACTAGCTATCCGCCCAAACCTTCTGGTCAGCCAGAGACCGTGCCAAACTTCAGTAAAAAAAAACACTATCTTGCGCAATTGAAACATCTTATAAATCCGAACATTCGTGTTCAATTTAAATCTGCAACAACTTAAACATGGACAATCCCACCAACCTAACGAACATCCAAACAAAATATCCTGTGAGAAATTTACGTAGTATTTAAATTTCATTGATGAATACAAGCTGCTCTTGCCCACGTACGTATCGGTTGTGGTTGATATCTGCCTCGCTGGAGTTGTGATCCCGATTCAAAATTGTTGTGCCCGAACCAAAATACCGAAGCTGAGATGATGTCTGTCGCAATGTGCGCTACTGCTGGTTCAACACGCAAGTCACATCTGCAGCAGGTACATTCATTTGTTACACACACATCTGCAGTACATAGTTTCAGATTTCACAATTAGCCTTCACAAGGTATCTACCTGATCTACAACTCCTTATCACTGTCAAGCTGTGCCTTTGTTGCTGCCTTTTCAGCTTCTTCCAAGACAAACTTCTTTAGTGAGTCAACATCCCTCGGCCCTGATCATTTGTACAAGAAACAATAACTAAGTGAGATACTGCACTATAGAAAGTCTAATACGTCGTTTGGGCCATAAATTAAAAACTCAGCCTTGAATAGGCTGCACTTGACCGGAGTCTACAAATAATATACACAACAGATGAAACAGTTATTTGGACTGATAACAGATCAAACTCACTTCAAATGAATCCATAGCTAGATATTCCATCACCTACATTTGCTTATGGGACCTGAGTAGTTTACATATATTTTGAAACCTAGGTATTTGACTATAATCTGAGGTATCATCATCACACAGAAATAATAGTCATTGTCATGGCCACCAATCTAATGGTTAACAGAACCAATGTCCCAGTATTTATACTAAACAAGGCCAGCCAATATTAAGTATGTATATACTAAATAAGCCAAGGATCAGTCACCACAAATATTCATTATTTATACTAAACAAAGCCAGCCAATATTAAGTATGTATATACTAAATAAGCCAAGGATCAGTCACCACAAATATTCATCTCTAGCACCGCTATACTACACAAAGCAGCCAAATCTTTCACAGGTACACACTTAAGACAGCACCACTCAAACATTTTTCGCAATTTATATCTAACATTCCTCCTCCACCAAAAAAGAAAAAAGTGCAAAAAATAATATAAAAACATGCACATATCTTTTTCAACATTGGGGTATGATAAGGTAAAGTGCAGTATTTATCACTTTTCCACAACAATACCATATTGCCTCTTTCAATGTCAGCCGTAGCCAAATGTTAGGACTTCTTATTTGTGATGGATTTCCACTGTTGTTATTATATTTAAGATGACAAGTTGGATAATGAATGATACGCAGATGTGATGGCCAATTTATATGCCCAAAATAAATTATAATGCTTTCCCAAATGAATCTGTATCGAACAAAAATGAATAGGCAAGTGCTACTGATCTGAATTGAAAATAAATATATATGAACACTTTCTTTTCTCAGATGTTACTAACAGGCACTTTAGGGGAAATACGTGCCCAAGCCTGCGAGAAGCTTGCACTTGAAATCTATTTTCTGGACAAGGCCCTTCAACAGGAATTTCATAGAAATTGGAAGCGCAATTGTTTAGAGATAGTGTAAGTGATAATAGTAAGCCTGAGTAGATCAAATAGAAAAGATTTTATGCAGCACAAAGATGAATATGGATGGAAACACAACTGATATAGCAGAAACGAAATTCAAATCGCACCTTGATATTTTGCAACTTCTTCACCATCATAGAATACTTTAAACGTAGGATACGAATGAATGTCAACTTTTGAACATACTGGTTTACTCGTACTACAATCAACCTCCCCAACCTCTATTTCGTCTTCACCTTCCATTGTCTTCCCAAGGTCCTCCCACAATGTACCCAAGTTCTTACTGAAACCAAATGTTACCATTACCAGTATGAATAACAATCAAATAAATCTCGCCAATCATAAACTCGAAAGATGCGAGAAACTTACCAATGCTTACACCATGGCACACAAAATTTCACAAACCATGCCGTGTCTTTCTCCTTCACCTACGAAAAACGCATACGCAAATAAACAATCGGCAAGGCGATAAAGGGAAAATAAATTTCTAATTAGCGGGCATGGCATATCTTTCCAAACTCCTACCTACTTAATAAAAAACATACATTTCTTATAAAACTCAACCCATAAAAAATTTCACTTTAACTTCCAGTCCGATTTCGTAGACTCAATCGCCATTTAATTCTGTCACCGATACTATATCAAAACACAATTGACAAAAAGGGCAAAACTAACTAGGGATTAGCATTGATAAGACCGCCAGGGATTGATGAGTAAGGAAAAATATGATCTGGTTAGGGTTAAAAACCCTAACTATATATGCTTGTGTGTAGAAATTGAAAAATTGGATCCGTGAAATTATTTAGATTGGATCTGTGAAATTGAATGCAAATCAATGAAGAATTTGAAGGGGTTTTGCAGTTGTTACCTTGTCGGAGAAGGTGTCAGCGGTTAGGGTTATAACCTCGGCTTCGGTATATGTTGTTAGAATTGGAAGAAGAAAGAGAAGAACTGAGATGAAAACTAGACAAGGAGAGTGGGTTTTCATCGCTGCTGAGAAAATTATAAAAATTTTCCGTGAAAATATGATCGACGGACGAGCCTATGTGAAGTTCTCTCCCAACTTCAGCTCGTTTACGAATCTACACTTAACTGTATATTTAGAAAACCATCCTCGTCAACTTTTTGCCTTTTTTTCTCATTTTTGGCCTCACTTTTGAGTCATTCTTGACAAAAAAGGACGGCAAAATTGTAATTTTAACATTTTGACAAAATGATAATCATATTCCCATTTTTTTATTTTACTCTTACTTTTGATCAGGGGTGGAAAAAAATACCAAAAATCCCAAACCATACCGAAACCAAACCGAAAAAAAACCATACCGAAAATCCCGAAAATTTTGATACCGAAACCAAACCGATCCCGAATTTTTCGGTATGAGATTCGGTCTCACACTTAAAATTGTTCGGTATTCCCATCCCGAACCGAACTTTAAACCCTATTGTTATATATATGTTGGAATATATGTATATGGCCTATTTATATTATTAGAATAACTTAAGTGTGGGGATAAGGATCTGATTGTGTGCCCGACGCTTGAAGTTTTATCAAAGCACATGGGTGCTGTCTGCTGCTCTCTCTCTCTCTCTCTCTCATTATCTCCATCTGCTTTGCAACCCAGAAAGGCGAAGCCACCAAAACATTCCTTCAACTCAATTCAAACCCAAGCCGACACATCCATACTCACTCTCTCTCATTTCTCATCTTTGGCCCTTCACTCAGTCTCAGATTCTCTTTGTCTCTCCTTCTCGAATTCGAAGCCTAGCAGCCACCACCCTCTCACAGTCTCACTCCGACGAACTCTCTCCCCTCCGGCCACCACCACACATCACGGCTTCATCCCCACCTCGGATTCTCTCCATTGATTCTCTATGTGGGGTTTCAAATTAGGGTTTCGAATTGGGGCTTAGGGTTTCGAATTGGGGATTAGGGTTTCGAATTAGGGGCTCGGGTCAAGAGGAAAACGAACTATCTCTTCACTCTGTCTCTCTATCTCCCATCAATCTTCACTGATTCACTGTCACTTCTCTGATTTCATTTTGGGTTTTTCATGCAGGTTCGAATGTTTTCGATTTCAATTAGTTGATTTGGATTTCAATGCAAGTTCAGTTTCGGGAAATCTCGAAATACCAAATTTTTTTTGGGAATACCGAAATTCGGGAATCCCGAAGTTTCGGTTTGGGATCGGTCCTCTTATTCTCGTCCTGAAAATTTTCGGTTCGGGATTTGTTATGTCATTTTCGGTTCGGTATCCCATACCGAACCAGCCCTACTTTTGATACACAATATTTACATAAAAAGGGCAAAATGGTAATTATGTAATATTAAGAAAAATAGGCCCTTATTAAGAGATCTCATCATCATTGTCTACTTTTGTTTTTTTAATTTTTAAAAACTAATCACACTCCTTAATCAAAAATAAATCCTTAATAAAAAACAAAAAAGAAAATGAAATTGTTCCACACAAAGTGTGTGCTCATCTTCTAGTTCATAATTAAAATGAGACGAATTGAATTGAAAAGAAGTTGAAATTTGATGGAGTCAGAATTAAATTCTTAATAAAATTGTTTACTAATTTAAAAAAAAAATCAAAGTAGGAATAACATTCATCTATATAAGTCACATAGCGAGACATAAAAGTGTACAATCCTGTCAAAATATGCGGTTCTTTAAGGATCAATTCCTCTAGCAGCACAAGCCTGACTTTTTTTTTTCTTTTTTTTTTTCTTTTTCTTCTGTTGAAAGCTAACTGTTGACTAATTCACATAAATGAAAATGAAAATTAATGTGATTCGTAAAATGCTTTTGTGCAAAGTAATTTATATGTTTTTTTATTTTTTTTATCACAAATGGATTGAAGTAAATGACAGAAAAGGGCCCAGCAAGAACAAAGAGAGGGCAAAGAAATGTCAATACCCATATCCACCACCTCCCCTCCTTCAGCGCCACCACTACACACACTCTCACACATAAATTCTTTCTGTACCTCCACCAGTTTTTGTGAGAAAATATATTGTCATGAAGGTGTAAGGGTGATATCGTGGGAATAATACTTAGGTACTCAAATTTCGTATACTCATTTTTTGATTTGGCTCAATCAAAAGATGTCACGTGTTTCTTATTTTTAAAGTTCTGAAAAAATCTATTATTTTTCAAAACAATAAAATATCCTATCCCCTTTGGTAAACTCCCCTTTGGTAAACACACCATGAACGTCGAGAATGCACCGAGGGCTTCCTTTTCTTTTTCTTTTTTGATTGAAAAGATAGACTTCTCATTGAACCAAAGGAGCAATACATGAGAACAGCATTACAATAGATAGCCAGCAGCTAGACAGCGGCAATCATACGGCTGCACCAACAGACCACCTATTGTACTCTTCGTAGAGCAGGTCTACAATAAGGTCAGGGGGCTCTTCGAACCAAGAGCGGTGTGCCAGTGCCACTTCACTTGAGAACGCCACAATTTATTCCAGCGTCTCCAGCGATACAAGAGGAAGCTGCAGCAGAGCGATCACACGCCCATTGTCTTGCTAGGTGATAAGCGCTCTCCACCGAAAAAAAACCCTTGTCAAAGTGCCAAATAAGCTTGTCTCCCATCCTTCTCAATCCAATAGACAGATATCTAATGAGGTCCACTTCCTGCCCGTGAAAAACTCTCGGAGCAGCACAAGTTCCATCAACCGGGATTATCTTTCATCAGCTCGTTGACATAGCTCAAGCTACAACCGTCAGGCTTTGGGGAGAAAACTCGGAACAAGGAAGGAAAGGGCATCCAACCATCCTCCCAAATTCGAATATTCTTAGCAAACTTGTGCTGAAGACCTTGGGGTTTTGAGAAGAAGAGTAAAGACCAACAGAAGTACTGGTTCTTGTGGGCTTTAAGACCGTTAAGACCTTGGAGTTTTGAGAAGAAGAGTAAAGACCAAGAGTAGTATTGGTTCTTGAAGGTTTTGAGACCATTAAAGTAAAGAAGCGAATAATCTGTTTTTTAAAATCTCACCCGTTGTTCATCCGTTATCCGTTTACAAAATCCCACTCGTCCATTTCACACTACATCAAGTTGGTTTTCAACGCCCAACCAAAAAAAAAAAAAAAAAAAAAAAATCGTAAAGCAAGCAACAATTCGTTCACAAAAAATAGTCACCAAACAGAAACAGAAAGTGCTACAGTCTTATTAATAAGCAACTCCTTCGCAAAGGTCCCAGAAAACCACCACAAATTTATCCAAAAAAAGTAAAAACATGAACAAAAAGCTCCTAAATAAGTCCGAGAGATAGAAACTACACAAAACCTGAAGTTTTATTCACCACCAGGACTCTCTCAATCAAAACCCATAACTATGTCATTCCCAACACTCTTGATCACTTCTGGCACCCTCTCAAACCTCCCCTTATCCTTTCTGTCATCCTCCCTTATCTCCTCGCCCCTTCCCGCATCCCCCCTTCTCTCGCCCTCCCTTCTCTCGCCCTCTTCCGGATGCTGCTGCCTCCTCTCTTCCTCCTCCTCCTTCGGCGGCTTCCTCTCCTCCTTGTACGGCGGTGCTGCTTGTGCCGTAGGCAAGATCACTGCCTCGCGCTGAGCATCAACAAACCTCCTCAACCGGTCTTCAGTCACGCCGAAAGCAGCTGCAAGCTCGGGTCCTTTGAGCTCCTGAAGAACAGACGCCGCACCAACCAAAATCTGAGGCCTGTTCTTCCGCGCCGAGGTTGTGAATCCAAAGAACTCGAGCGGGCCAGTTCTTGATGCGATTTGACAGAAGGGGAAGTACCTTGGCACCCAAAATACATCACCTTCTCCTATGTTGGCATTCATGGCTTGTGTCCCATTTGGGAACACAATCTGTAGTGTTCCGGAGCCTCTCAACACAATGCCGTATTCTGTCGCTCTCGGATTCACATGCGGTGCCATCATTGACCCAGCGGTGAGGTTAACAAGGTAAACGCCGATGCCAGAGTGTTTCAACGGTGAGTAATCAGAATCATCGAGCTGCATGCTCCATCCGTAGTCATTTCTGAAGTCGGGCTTTCTGTCGTAGAGGTTGTAAGAGTCTGGTGATTTTCCTGTTCCCTTGCCCTTATCGTAGTCATCTCGCCTCCTCTTGTTTTCGTTTGAATCAGCGCCAAAAACTGAGTTCAAGAGCTTCCTCCATGACCATGTTTCTGATTTGTCTTGGTGATCATCTTGTTGGATGTCAAACATCCTCTTCATTTCTTGAAGTCTGTCTTGCTGTTTCAGCTGGAGGAATTTTGACCAGACACTTGGCGAATAAGATTCGGGCACAAAGACGATTGGACCTTGTTGTTGACTTGTGAACATCTCTCTTAGTTCTGATGATGTGACCTGCAGTATTGGACACACATTTGTGTCTTTAACTTTTGGTAAACAAATTTGGTGTGTTCTAGGATTATTGTTAATCATAGAGAAAATTGTGCACACCCAATTGTAGTTTTGGTATCTGAATTAAAAATCCATTCAAATTAGTATCCGCGAGTTCGACAAAATGTGGAGCGTTGGTTCTCACACTAACTTATGTTAGATTTTTTGGTCAAAATTAAACATGTGATATTGTGCACGAGTCTCTTTTAAGGGATAAATCGGGGAAATCAACCATGATTTCACATGTCACGTGCTTAAATTTGATTAAAAAAATGTATTCCAGAGTTGGTGTCACATATTTTGTGAATTTCAGACATCAATATGAACGGATTCTTACTGAAAATATGATGATATATCAATAATATGTAGCAATTTTAAATTTAAGAATTGATCATCATAAAACTGTGATGTGCTTACATTGAAGGCATTTGCAAGTATTTCATGGTCAAATCCAGCAATAATAGACTGTGGGTTGCTTCCTCCACCAATGAAGAAGGACTGCATTATTTTGCAAAAACATCCAAATTAGTTATATATACTGAAATGTTGAATTACCATAAACCCTAATTAAGAAGTTTTCAATTACCATAAACCTAATCTGTTATGTACCTGCAAACCCATTCCCAAACTCTCAGAAGTGTCAATGCTGCAAATGATGTGAACCCTCTGGCCCTCTCCAGTGTTCACCAAGTAAAATGGAGACCCAGC